CGGCTGGACACTTTCGGGCAACTTCTCGGAAGGCCAGGGGACGCCCGAGCCTGCTGAGGAGACTTGCCCCTTCTCTTGGGAAAGGAGGGGATAACGAAATCTGCTGCATGCAGCTGGAGTCGGCCCCACCGCCAGGCCCGTTCCTCGATACATGGGTGCCTCCCGGCGCCGGGAGGCGCTGGGGAAATCAGCTACGCGAGCTGATTCTCAAACCCCCCTTTTGCTGTCCCCCCCTTTCGTCCGGCCCGACAGTCCCGTTTCTCTTTTTCGCCCAGACGTGAACACGCTGCAGTGCCTGGGTCTCAGGTGTCGCACAGCTCGCGCGCGCCACCCTCTTTCACCCCATACTAGGGCGACGGGATCTGTACACGTCCTGGAAAACGAAAACAAAACGAAAACGAAGCACGCCGTCTAGGCTCAGCCCTGTACACGCCCTCCTGGCTTTCCAAGGGTCGGGAGGGCTGAGACCAGGATACATCCGTTCCAGAGCGATCCGGGACGTTCTGAGAGCGTTTCTGCATGCTCTGAGCCACGACGCCCGAGACGTCTTTCAGAGCCGCCGCATCTCAGAGGTTCTTCATTTATCCTTAACCGAATGCACCCTCGTCTCGGCTTCGTCTTGCAGGGGTGCACATCCTCGGGTCCCGAGCCCAGCATGGGCCAGGCGGAGCTGGTCGAGCGGCAGCACGAGACGTGGTAGCAGGAAGAATTGCAAGCGCTCGTCGCACTTTCTGGCCTGCGGTGTGCCTACAGTGTTCCCCCAATTCGGTTTTGCCCAAGGGTTTTTCTTTGCGTTTGCAGACTCAATGGGATTCTAGGCCAGCGCCGGCCGTCGTTCCTCCTGAGGTCCTTGATCTTGGTTTCTTGGTGCCTCGAGTGTGATGAAACGTGCGAAAGGGTTTCAAATCGGGTGCGGGTACGCCATGCGGACGCTGCTGCTGGGGCTTTCGTGGAGCTCCAGCTACTGACCGTGCGAAGGGGTTCCGAATCGGGCGCGGGTACGCCATGCGGGCGCTTGCTCAGGGCCTTCGGTGGAGCTCCATGTGGGGCCGTCAAACGTGTTAGGGGTGTGCCGGATCGGGTGCGGGTACGTCATGCGGACGCTGCCGCTGGGGCCTTCGGTTGATTTCCAGATGGGTCCACCAAATTTGTGAGGGGTGTACCGAATCAGGTGTGGGTTCGCCATGCGGGCGCTGCCGCAGGGGCCTTTGGTGGAGCTCCACTCGGGGTCACAGAGCGTGTGAGGGGTGTGCCGGACTGGATGCAGGTACACCATGCTGACGTTGCCGCTTGGGCCTCTGGTGGAGCTCCCTATGGGACCACGAAGCGTGTGTGGGGTGTGCCTAAGCAGAGACATGCGGAGGGCAGAGGCAGGGATGACAGGGATGGGAGGAGGCGGAGGAAGAGGATGAGGAAGGAGGAGGAATGAGTGACGCAGGGCGCTGTCTCTTCAAAACGAGGAACCAACACCACAGGATTGTTAGGATGTTTTTCAATACATCCCAAAGGTGCTTGCTAGCAGGGGCCCTTATATGTCTGTCATAAGGAACTGGGCCCGTCTGGCGGTCCGGCCGCTATGTCGTCGTTGTCGCCGATCCGTCGCCGTCTCGTTGCCGCCCGTCGTTTGCGCCTGTCTGGTGGTCTGGTGGCTGTCGTCGCCGTCGCCACCGTCCGTCGCCGCCTCGTTACCGCCCGTCGTCTGGGGTCCACCGCCTTGTGGTTGTCGTCGCCGCACTGTCGCCGCGTCGTCGACGTCCGCAGCCTCGTCGCCGCATTGCTTTGCGTTGATCTGCATTACTTCGCATAGCTGTGCATTGTGTTGCATGAGTTTGCGTTGCGTTGCATTGGTTTGCGAAGCTCTGCGTCGTATTGCCTTGCAATTGCTTTGAATTGCAATCGCATTGCGTTGCATGGCATCTCGTTGCAAGCTGGTGGGGGGGTCTCTGCGACAAGAGCGGGGGGGCTGGAGGATGAGAAAAAGTGGATAGTGTAGGATGATCCGGAGGGCGCAAGTGTTAGATTGAGCTCTTCGCCCTGGTGCTCTTCCTGCGGCTCTTCGCCCTGATGTTCCTCCTTCCCCGTCTCCTCCTCATCATCCGCCCTGCTTTATCCTCCTCCCTGCTTCATCCTCGCTCCTCCTCTCCCTCCTCTCTTCACCACCCTGCGTCTCCTCCCCCTCCTCGCTCCTCCTCTCCGCCCCATCCTCGATCCTCCTCTTCCCTTCTGGGAGGCAAGATAGGTGTACATGCCCGCTCTTTTCACGTGTGCTGCTTTCCTCCGTTCCAGCACGTTGGTTCCCAGTCTGCCCTAGCCAGAGAATGTGCACGCTCAAAAATGACCCTCGTCATCGTTGTCGTCATCATCGCCGTCGCCATTTACAGTCGGGGCCTTGAAGAAGGAACCCTTTTCGTTGGGGAGGGGCTCCGCGTTCCTTAAATGTTTCACAGCTTGCCTCAGGTTTTCCTTAGGTTTTCGATCGTAAATCGAAGTTTAACTTATGGAAAAAAGGGGCCTCGTTCCTTTTTTGGGGTTCCTTAGGTCAAGGCCCCGACTGTACCACGCCACCTCCGCCGTGTGTCCGTCTGAGCGTCGGGCAGCTCTTGCGTGTGCCCGCTCGTCTGCGCGTCCGCGCCCGGTCTGCCTCTGCGGCCGGCGCGGCCCGGCCGCAAGCGGAGCTGCGTCCGAAGGCTCCAGGAGAGCAGCCGTTCGTTGGCTTCTGCCCTTTCGGCCAAGGGGTCCCCCTCCTCCTCCTCCTCCTCCTCCTCCTCCTCCTCCTCCTCCTCCTCCTCCTCTTCCTCCTCCTCCTCCCCCTCCTCCTCCTCCTCGTCCTCCTCCTCCCCCTCCTCCTCCTCCTCCTCCTCCTTCTCCTCCTCCTCCTCCTCCTCCTCCCGGCAGTTCTCGCAGAGACGAGCCGGAGCGCACGTGCAGACGATCTCCAGCCTCCGGGGATCTTCTCCGCCTGGTGCTCTCGGGAGCCGCTGGGGCCGTTTGCCGACCTGGTCGTGGGGCTGTCGTGGGCGCGCTTCGGACAGAAGAGGGGAGATTTCAAGATCAGCTGAAGATCTTGATGACATGTTAGCCAGCGTGGACCCCAACCAGTGTGATTGTAGTATACGTCGATTAACATCTGTGTATCTGTATATATATATTGCAATATTACGTTGCGCAATCTTATGGTGTGCAGTCTATGCAGTGCAACATCAGTGGTGCAATCCCTGTGGTGCAATCGATGCCCTGCTGTATTCCAACATCTACATACACAGAGACATATATATAGATAGAAATATATAAAACCGCGCATACATGCACACATGCATGTATGCATGCAGGCATACATACATCTATCACTGCATCAAACTTTACATACACACATACATACATACATACATACATCCATCCATCCATACATACATACATACATACACACATACATACATGCATGCATACATGCATGCATACATACATACATACATATATTCATACACGTACATGCACACATACATACATGCATACATGCATACACGCATACATATCTATAGTACACATACACACATGCATACAAACGTTCATACATACATACACACATGCATGTATGCATACATAAATACGTACATGCACACATACGTACATGCATGCATACGTACACACATACACATACACAGACACATACACATGGTCATACACACATACACACATACACACGTATATATGTATATACGTATATATGAATATACACGCATGCATGCACACATACATGCATACTTGCATCACTATTCACACACATACGCATGCCCATGCATACATACACACACACACGCATAAGTACGTGTATGCATATTAATATGCATAGGCCCGCCCTCAATCCGCGGACCTCTCGCACAGCTTTGAAACGAATATGCGCGGCGCTAAGGCGAGACCCACATTTTGGAATCGGACCGCCCTCCATCTGTGACGCTGTGTTCAATGTTGAAGCTTCAGGTTCATAAGTGAGAAGGAATACGCCGGCGAAACGCCCGGCCCGCCCTTCCCACTGGCCTCGGGGTGCGACAGGGAGGAGCTACTCACAAGGAAAAGGAATGGAGGAGGAGGAAGAGGAGGAGGAGGAGGAGGAAGGGGAGGAGGAGGAGGACCAGCGCAAACCCAAGACTCAGCAACGATGTTGGAGTGCACCCTCCCTCAAAGCTCCCTCTTCACGGGCCGCTACAAGGGTTCATTTCCACTGAGAGAGTTGCCACGTTGGGAGACAACCGTGTGAAAACCCTGATGCGTGCCCAGAAACCATTCTCAGGACTTCAACGCCATGAGTCATCCTGACGGTTGCGTTTTCACGACATCTTAATCTTGCCCGAACACCATTTTTGGGACTTCAGCACCGCGGGTCAATGTAATTGTTGCGCCCTGATAATCTTGAGCCGCTCGCATTTTGAAAACGACCTTCGCCCTCAGTCCGTTAAGTTCTTGCAGATTTTCCAGACCAGCGGAGAGAGCCACATATTGAGAACCACCCGCCGTCAATGTGTTAGCTCTTGCAGACTTTTGAGGCGAGTGTACGCGGCGCCGAGGCGAAAGCCACTTTTTGACAACCACCCGCCCTCAATACGTTCAACCCTTGTAAGTTTGTAGGCCGAATGAAGGGGGCGTTCAGGCGAGAACCACATTTTGAAAGCCCCCCGACTCCCATCCGCAAAAACTTTGCAAGTTGCCAAACACAAAGCGAATGAGCGCGGCGCGAAGGGGAGAACCACATCTTGAAAATCACCCGCCCTCCATGTTGTTGCTCGTTTTTACGTTTCCGGTTTTTAGATGGTGAGGAAGTTTCCGGCGACCCCCCCGACCTTCCCTTCCGATGGGCTTCGGGGTGCGACAGGGAGGAGTAATTCAAAATGAACAAAAGAAACGTGTATAATGATGGTGATGATGATGAGGAGGATGATGATGAGGAGGATGATGAGGAGGAGGAGGAGAAACAAACTTCTTTGGGCCCTTTCGGGCTTCTCCGTAGCCGTTGTGGCTCAAGGTTTCTTGGGCCATGCAGGCTCAGCGAGGCCGGATGGCCAAGACAGGGGCGCCCGCAGCAGTAGCAGCCATGGAAAGCCATTCGCATCTCAATGCGGAAGAGCTGCTCTACAGGATGAATGGTTAGCTATTGCGGCTGCTAGCTCAGCATGTTGGTGGTTCCCCTGAGGGCATTGCCACTGCAGCCCGTCAGTTACGTCGCGATGGGAAACTCAGCGGGAAGATCTGCAATAATATCGTCATGGTGGACGAGGCGTACCACCTCACCCGCCAAATGACAACGAGCATTCGAAGGTCAAGGCCGTTCTTTTCCAGGAGGCAGGTGGACCGTTGAGAACGCACATGTTGCCTCCACTTGTGCGGACTCGCTGAGCGGTGGGGAGTTGCTTGAGCACACCACCAACCATGGCAGCGTCAGCGACAGCAGCAGTGCTATGCGTGTCGAGGTCCTCATCAACGGGGACGACGTCCGTGAGCAGTGCGCCCAGGCGGTAGATATGGACCCGCTCATGTACGATGGGATTTGGACCGCCTGCACGAACTGCAATCGGTCACGGTAGAGACGCGAGCCGATGTTCTTTCAATTTGGGGTCAATCGGTTGCTGGGCCAGGATCTAAAGAAATCCAGCTTACCAGTGTGGATTTCGAGTACCCCCCGCGCCCGATGGGAAGCGACGGGCCCACAGAGGAGGTGAATATCACGCAGACTGAGGAGGAGCATAACCCTTTCACGGACCATCCTTCGCAGTACCATGTCATGGTTTCAGAGCGCGAGAAGAATGCGAAGTTGATGCGCGTTCTGCGTTCTACAACTTATCATCGGGCGGTCGTGTTGGTTTGGTCGAACAGGCGAGCCATGGCATTGTCAGAGGTCCTTCGGGAGCTCAAATTTGACGCTCGCTCCATGTATTCTGTTGAGGGTTCCCATCCAGACTCCGAGTCGGACGGCTCAATCCAAGCGGTGGTGCAGAGCTTTGGGCCCGAGGCGGGCATTCTGGTGGCGTTGGCAGAAGATCGGGCCCTGACATCAGATATCATCAGGCCGAACCTGCTCATCAACTACGACATGCCTGATGACGCAGAATCCTATCTGGGTCGCGTAGGCCCCAAGGGCCACGTGAGCTTGGACGGGGTGGTCATTTCCTTCGCAGCCAGTTCTGACGCCGCGGTGCTACTGGAGATCCAGGAGGAAATGCCTGTGAACATAGTGGCTTCGCCACCCAGTTCAGCGCCGGCGTAGGCTACGGCAAGAGGTTGTGATGGGCAGCAGCATGGAGTGACAGCGAGGGGTGAGAGGGTGGAGAGCACTTGCATCCCGCTGCCTTGGATGCCCATCGGTAGCTGTCTGCTGCTGAGTGCTAGAATCTCCAGCTTCCCCTTCTTATCCGACCTTATCCCTCCACCCCTTCCAGAGTTTTCAGCACTCTGCTAGCCCTCTCTGGGGGAGGTGGGGGAGCGGAGGATTTCGAGTGTTATGGTGCGTGCGTGTGTGCGTGCTGTGCGTGGGAGTTGCGCGTGTTTTATCGGAGGGGGGGGGTTCCCCCCCCATCCTCCGCAGCTGTCGTGCACGCCTGGGAAACACCTAGCTACGACATATTGCCCTAACGGCGCTGGCTTCTTTTAGGGCAGCAGTGCTTCCAGCCAGTCCAGAGAGCGAGGCTGTCGCGCTCGGATTTTCCGGGTTCTCTATTCAATTTTACTCCAGCCTTATCCTATGATGTGGGGTCTCTTCGCTGCTTAGGTTTAGCCCCCCTCCAGTCAGGGTGCAAAGTTAGCGGAACCACGCTCAGCATCTGCCCAAGTACCCTAGAGCAGTTTCCCACCTTGGAGGAGGGGGGGGGGCGTTGGTCACAGGCGGGGGCAGGAGTGTGGAGGACCCCTTCCCGCTGCTGCGTGGCCCTGTTGTCGACCGCAACTTTGGTCGGGCAGCCCAGAGGCATCCATGGCCTCTGCGCCTCCCTTACTCCCTTCACGGGCGGTTTGAGCTGTCTTAGCGTTGTTGCTCTGTGCTCGCTGACCCGTCCTGTCTCGGTGTCTCGGTGTTCCTTTTGGGCCTTTTTCAAGGGGCCTTTTGGGAGCTTCCTTGGGGGGCTCTTGGGGGCCTCCCGGGGGCCACCTGGGGAGCTTCCCTGGGCCTCTTGGGATCTTGGGCCGCCTTAGGGGGGCGATTGGCCCGTCTGACGCATTCGGGGGCCGTCTTGGAGGCTTCTCTGGGGCGCTTCGGTGTTCTCTTGGGGCACTGGGCGATCTTGGGGTGCTCTTGGGCCGACTCGGGGCCTTCTTGGGTGCCCCACGGGCTGTCTTGACGCTATCTTGGAAGCCCCTTGGGCCGTCTTGGGTGGTCGGGAGCCCAAATAAGCGAGAACTTCGAAAGCGAGAACTTCGAACTCCTTCAACAACCGAATGTAATGATCAATGATTTGGGCCTCCACGGGCGCTCTTGGAGGGCCTCTTGGAGCCCTCTCGGGCCATCTTGGGGGCCCTTCGGGCCGTCTCGAGGCCGTCTCCGAAGCCCCATTGAGCCATCTTGCGCCATCTGGAGCCGTTCTGGTGTCGACGTGGCTGTCTGAGAGGCCGTCCTGGAGCCGGCTTCGTGGAGGTCGAGCAGCTAGCCAGCAACCAATTTCTGAGGGGGCGATTTCTGAACGACGTGCGTGCTGGAGGGGTGGGTGGGGGGGGGCTAGCGATACTTCAAACTTTCCAAGGCGACAGACGAGCATTCTAACACGCCAAGTCCGTGTGAGCATGGCTCGGAGATGCACACACATATATACATGGATACGTAGCACCCCGCACTTGCGGATCAGCGTGAGGGGGCGGGCGCGGGTGACGCGGGCGTCGAGCCGGCGGACCTCGTGGCCCCCACCTTCCCTGTCGATGGCGCCCTCCTCCTCCTTCTCCTTCTCCTCCTGCTCCTCCTCCTCCTCCTCTTCCTTGTCCGCGTCCTCGTCCTCATCGTCGTCGTCGTCGTCGTTGTCCGCCTCCTCCGCCTCCTCCTCCTCCTCCTTTTCCTCCTTCTCCTTCTCCTCCTCCTCCTCCTGACCAATGCGAGCAAACCCGCCGCAGGCGCCGATTTGCGTGTTCTGAAAACTTCAGCGCGGGGGGAATCGCTGGTGGGTCACCCGGAACGAATGCAAAACAACCCGCCGCAGGCGCCGAAGTTTTGGCTTGTTCAGTGAACGTAGTTTGGGTCGCGGGTGGGTCGCGGCTTCTCCACCTCCACCTGGAAAGCATTCAAAAACAGCCTGCCGCAAGCGCCGGCATTTTTGATTTGTACAGTGAACGCAGTTTGGGTCGCAGGTTTTCCACTTGGAGCGAATGCAAAAAAAACGCCGCAGGCGCCGAAATTTTGGCTTGTTCAGTGAACGTAGTTTGGGTCGCGGGTGGGTCGCGGGCTCCCCACTTCCACTTGGAAGGCATTCCAAAACAGCTCGCCGCACGCGCCGAACATTTTGATTTGTACACTGAACGCAGTTTGGGTCGCAGGTGGGTCGCAAGTTCTCCACCTGGAGCGAATGCAAAAGAAGCCCGCCGCAGGCGCCGAACATTTTGGGCCGGTCGCGGGGTGGGTCGCGGGTGGGTCGCGGTGGGTCGCGGGTGGGTCGCGGGTCGGGCGTGGTTTGGGTCGCGGGTGGGTCGCAGGTTCTCCATCTGGAACAAAAAAAAAACGCCGCAGGCGCCGAAATTTTTTGGGTGGGTCGCGGGGTGGGTCGCGGGTGGGTGGGTCGCGGTGGGTCGCGGGTGGGTCGCGGGTGGTGGTCGCGGGTGGGTCGCGGGTGGGTCGCGGGTGGGTCGCGGGTGGTCCGGTCGCCGGTGGGTCGCGGGTGGGTCGCGGGGGGTTCTCGGGGTGGATCGCGGGCGGGTCGCGGGGTGGGTCGCGGGCGGGTCGCGGGGGGGTCGCGGGTGGGTCGCGGGATGGGTCGCGGGTGGGTCGCGGGGTGGGCCGCGGCTGGGTCGCGGGGTTGGTCGCGGGTGGGACAACGACAACAACAAAAATCGGCATCAAGGATTTTTGTTTTCAACCACGCACCCAGGGACAGTGAATGATCGTTCGATTCAGCCCCCTCAATCTGATATGTGTATATATGTATGAATGTACACGTACGTGCGTACGTTTGTATGCGTGCACGTATGTATAGGGGCATCATTATATGGGTTTGTCTGTCTGTATGTATGTGTGTATGTGTGTGGATGGATGGATGGATCGATGGAGTGATGTATGTATGAATGTACGTGTGAAATGATGCACGCACACCTACATACATGTCTGGGTTTACGGATACATGTGTACGTCTGTATGTGCGTATGTGTGCATGTATTGATGCATGCATGTATGCATGCATTCATGCATGCATGTATGCATGCATTCAGGCACGTATAAATGTGTGCATGTATGGATACATGCATGCATTTGAACACACGCACATGTTTATGTATGCATATATACGTATATGCATGATGATTGTGTGCATATATGTATGCATGTGTGTGTCTGCCTGTCTGCCGGTATGTATGCATGCATGCATGTATTTATGTATAGGTGCATGTATGTATGTTCGTATGCATGTATGCATTGAGTCCTGCATGCTTGTATGTATGTCTGTATCGTTGGACCGCTGTTTGTACTTACGTATGTTTATTTTGAGGTGTGCAGGTATACATCTACATATGTAATTATTTATATATATATATATATATATATGTGTGTACATAGATTCATGCATGTATATACGTGTGTGTATGGTTTGTATGTATGTATGCATGCATGCACGTATGTATGTGTGCTCGTGCGTAAGTAGGTATGTGTGTATGCATGTATGTAGTTATACACGTATGCATGCACGTGTGCATGTACGCATGCGTGTATGCATGTACGCATGTATGCATGCATGCACGCAGGGATGTACGTATGTTTGTTTGTATGGATACATGCATGCATGTATGTCGGTCTGTATGTATGTATGCTTCATGCATGCATGTACGCATGTATTCACGTATGTATGTATGCACGCATGTATATATGGAATTCATGTATGGATGGATCGATGGATGGAGGGAGGGAGGTTGCCACAGGGGCTCGCTGCGCTCGGTCGGATGGCGCGCGTGCGGCCCCGCTCGAGAAACAGAGCGAGAAAGCGAAGGGGGGCAGCGGCAGCCGCATCCCTCCGTGCATAAAAAGGGCCTCGAGCCGGACTGGGTGTCTCTCCCTATTTGGGGGGCGGCCCCCCCTTATAGCCGGATGGGGCGCCAGGCCCGAGACCGGCAGAGGCTGAGCAGCAGGGCGCGGGGGAGATGGAGAAGGCGGGAGGAATGTGTCATGTCATCACCTCCTTCGTTGTCCTGCTCCTCCCCTCCCTTTTTCCCTCCTCGTCCCTAACCACCTCGCCGTTGTCCTCCCCGTAATTCAAGCTGTAGAGTAAGCAGCCCCCCCAGCAACAGTTTGGGGTTTCGGGCCTTCCGTCCCTCCCCCCTCTCCTCCTTTTGAATTCGTGTCGTCGTCTCCTCCCCCCCTGGCTTGGGCGCCCTACTAAGCCCGCGCGTCCCCTCCCCTAGGGCTCGCGGAAGGGCCAGCAGCCGCTCCCCCCGCACTGACCCGAAGAGACTCGTGATGTAAGGTAGCGAGCTTCTCTTTCGGGGCCACCTCGGAGCTCGGTCCTTGAGCTGCGTGGTATGCCCCCTGCCGGCCCTAGTGTGAAGGCAGGGCTGTAGCACAACAAATCGCAGGAGATTTTGACAGAAGCGCGTAGGTCACCCGAGTAGGTGCTCTGACGTTGCACCCCCTTATTCGGATGCCCTTGTCCTTGTCCTCGTCCTGCCACCTCCATCTCCTGTTCCTCGTTGCACTCGTCGTCAACATTCTTCATTATCCTTTTGCTTCCCCTCTTCCTTTCCACGTCATCATCCCTCGTCTTCCTCGCCCTTGAGCTCTAGCTGCTCCTTCCTCCTCGTCCTCGCCTGTTCTCCTCGTCTTCCCTCCTCCCGCTGACTCTCTCGCTGCTCCTCGATGCTCCTTCGCCCTCGTGGTCTTTCAGTGACTCTTTCTTCTCCTGCTCAACCCTGTCGTCGCTGGAGATGAACACAGCCGGTAGACAAAACCGTTGCGTTATGAGCAGCATGTCGAAGGGGTTCCAGCTGTGCCGAACAGTGGCCTCGCAGAGGCTCGAACCTGCGGAAACCTTGCGCGAATCTCGATCCGCGAAGCTCGATTTTCGAAACTGACGGCGAGCGGCGGTGGCGGGTGATGCGCGACGACGACTACATGCGTCGCATGCGGTTCTCACCACCGCCCAATCCACGAAAGCCCCCCCCCCAGAACTAGCCGTTCAGAACACAACGGGAACTTCTAGACGACACACCTGTGATGGCTACTCTGCGCACCCCTGATTATCAAGGATCAGATCCCCGAGCCATCAGTTGTAACTCGGGTCAGGGCTAACTCGGGTTCGTTTCTCGGGAATCGGAACCCGAGTTACCCCGGGCCCAAGCTACCCCGGATAATTCGGGCGTCCAGAGCCCCAATTCATCAGGGGTAACTCGGGTCAGGGCTATTCCGGGTTTGTTTTTCGGGAATCCAAGCCCGATTTACCCCGGGCCCGAGTTACCCTGTATAATTCGGGGTAACTCGGGCCCGGGGTAGATCCGCAGGTTTTGCCCAAACTGCGTCCAAGCAATGAGACGTCGGCGCTGCCAAAACCGTGTCCGGGTAGCGCGGCCGATATTCGGCTGTTGCCTGAGCCTTTCACGGAGGAGCAGGAAGAGGAGGAGAGGGAGGAGGAGGGAGCGGAGGAGGAGGACGAGGACGGGGACGAGGACGAGTAGGACGAGGAGGCGGAGGAGGAAGAGGAGGAGTATGAGGAAGAGGAGACGAAGTAGGAGAAGAAGGAGGATAGGGAAGAGGAGGGGGAAGAAGAGGGAGGACGAGGAGGAACCCGATGAGGATGAGGAGGAGGAGGGGGGGTAAGAGGAGGGGGAAGAAGATGAGGATATCGACCGCGCGGGGAAGGAGGTGAAGAGGGTGGAGGAAGAGGAGGGGCAGGTAGGATGATGATGATGATGATGATGATGATGATGATGATGATGATGATGCTGATGATGCTGCTGATGATGATGATGATGATGATGATGATGATGAACATGATGTTGATGCTGATGCTGCTGATGATGCTGATGCTGATACTAATGATGATGTTGCTGATGATGATGTGAAGGTGATGATAATGGTGCTCATGATGATGTTGATGATACTGATGATGACTATGATGATGCTGATGATGCTGATGATGCTGACGAGGTCGATGATGATGCTGATGAGGGGGAAGAGGTTGCAAGAGAGGATGAGGTATGATGATGATGACGATGATGCAAATGACGCTGATGATGCTGATGATGCCGATGTTGATGCTGATGATGATGACGATGATGATGATGATGATGATGATGATGCTGATGATGATGATGATGATGCCGATTATGATGACGATGCTGATGATGCTGATGATGCTGATGCTGCTGATGATAATGATGCTGTTGACGATGCTGATGATTCTGATGATGCTGATGCTGGTGCCGATCAGGATGCCGAAGCTGTTGCTGATGTTGATGATACTAATGATGATGCGGTTGATGATGATGATGATAATGATGATGATGATGATGAT